CATTAGAATAAGCTCATTGTACCTGGATTTGATACCCTCTGGAAGCATTCTGGCACAAAAGCCTGCCTTTCTTACTCTACTCAGTCCTTTAGGAAGTAGTTCTGCACCAAGAAGGAGTTGTGCATGATCCTGCTGTCCTGGCAGGGCTTGTAATGCTGAGCAGAGCTCCTGAGCAGACTCTCTTAGAAACAAAGGAAATCATAAGGAGTTCCCTGGTCTGTCTTCTTCCTTCCCCTTCCCCTTCCCCTCCCCTCCCCTCTCTGGCACCCAGTGTCTTTTCCTGTGCTGTGTTTCCCTCTGTCTGGATGTGTTTGACTCAAAACTGGGTTGATCTGATGGAGAATGTAAGGAACATTTCTTTTCTCATTCACTCACTCAGACATGGTCTCACTCCTATGTCTTTCATACAACTGGCTTTAACTATTTTTCCATGTTAAAACAGTGCACTGAGGCACAGATGCACATGAAATCAATTTCTTTAGGAACATCAAGAACCATTATCCTAGATGTCCATAGGTTTTAGGTACTTTCAGTAGATTCATGTTTAAACTATACACATAGGTGTCAGTGGAAGTTGTAGTATAGGCTGTATTTTAACATTTTGTACTAGAATACTTAATTGTCTTTTTGCCCAACTAGCTTCATTCAAACAGGCACATGCCACTGGATGCTCTGATACCTGAGATACTTCATTGAAAAGGGAGGATGCATTTCCTTTCAATTAGGACAATATTTTAGCAAATTAACATAAGCACAAATCCAAAATACATTCATAAATCTGTACACTGTTTAGAAAATTAATAATAAAATACTATATGTTTTTAAAAGTATAAGCAGCAATTGGTTTCTTTCTTTAGCTTTAGATTATTTTATTTATAGGTCTATGTGTAGATTCATATAGAAACATTTTTCAAACTCTGTACTGGTAGAATTGCAAAAGAAGGATGAATCAAGTATCTCCTTATGTTATCCCACTTTTGGAATTACAGACAATACTCTGGAAAGTTCCCTGGCTTCTGAAATTACGTTGCTTTATATCACCCTGATATTGATATGTGTATTTGGTAGAGCTTAGACTGTTTTCTGTAACATGCTAAGGTAGATATGCAAATGTCAGCACACACACACACACACACCCCCAGCACATGAGATCTCAAAGGAAAAGACCTAGTGGGGTTCTTAGGAGTATGCCTAAATTAAGGAAGACTATAAATCAGAGCAGTGGGAATGATTATTATATCCTCATTGTTTAGGCAAACACATTTTAGGCACATGCTTAAATTTCATGGTGAATTGTGGTTGTAGTTTGTTTTATTATTTTTCCAGAATGCCTCAACATTAGAAACATATAAATAGATTCAACTGTACACTCCAGATAGATAGATTCCAGGTTTAAGTAGACAGAGAATGGCCATGCTTTGAAGATAGCATATGGATTTTTAAATTACCTGTGAAGGAAGAAATTATTTATTGGGTTTTTTTAAGATTTAACTCAGAATTTCTTAAATTTACATCTATTATTTAGAAATGGATGTTGCTCACCTTTCAGGTTGTTTCATAGCTTGTATTTAAATATATAATCAAAGATATACATATATAAGGAATGATAGCAGAAGACAGATATAGGAAGACAGTAAGGAAGTAGGTTTGCAGCCTTGTACAATGCTGAGAACTCTTGCTGCTATTCTGAAAGCAAAAACCAACCAACTACCATGCACATCACATTTTATGATACATGGGAAAAGCATTTATTAAATGCCTAAGGAAATATTAACATGCCTTCTGACACTGTAAGATGTAATTAAGAATTTTCAAAAATTTGAAAAAAAACATTTAAAGTCCCATTTTCTTTCCCCTTCTTGAAACAAAAGAAAAAGAGTTTAGCCACAGCACAGGAAATTGTGACAGTACTGCTAAGTACAGAGGATTTTATGAACTTTTTCAGTCTACTGCCTTTCTTCATGGAGAAGTGCAAAGGACCAGTTCAGACAGATATATGAACAGAGGTTGTTTATATTTACAAAGACATTTATAAATACTAACAATGAAGGACTAGATGGCATTCATCCAAGAGGAATAAAGGAACTCAAAGGAGCACTTGGTACTTCCTTTTTTCTTATTCTCATGCTATTTCCACAACTGCCACTACAGGATGGACAGGTGCAATAAAACTGCTCATATGTACTTAAAAGGAAGGAATCCTTTCTTCTGTATGATAGGTTTCAGAAAAACAGTACTTGGAGTGGATGGGAGAATATTAAATGGTCCAATGAGCCAGTCAGAACATGATTATACTTTTTTTTTAAACCTTTAACATCAGCAGCAAAGGAAACTGAGACACTTAAGGGCTTAAAAGGGCAGAAATGTATCATCTAGATCAATCTAATAATAGATATAACAGCACACCAGGAGAGACAGATGAGGAAAAAAGATAGAGTTAACTGGACTCTAATGGACATTTTAAGACTCAGTTTTGTTTAAGAGTCTATAATATGGTCTACAGGGTAAATATTTTAGCACCCAGCTTCAGGCTTTGTCTGCAGTACATAAGCAAATTCTTAATAATAATTGCAGCAAAATCTAGCCTGCCTTCTTTCACAGATCTTCAGTCAAGTTGCAACAGAGAGAGGCAGTAGAAGTCAAACCCTTCTCTCCACTACAACCTTGCCTCCTCCAGCTGATTGAGTTATCTCACTGTTCCTTCCAAGACTTCTTTTCATGTCAAATTCCTGGTTTACTTGTTGGCCCAGGCAGTCTTTTTTCCATGCTACTTCTCTGTTTCCCATGGAAGCATCAATAGTGTCAATATCTCCCCAGGCTGTCCATAGGCAAGGCAGGGTGTTGGGAGATAAAAAGCAGGGCAGCACTCTTGCTGTTTAGGAACAGCAGTGTGCACATGAAGAGGCACCTTTGTAATGTCCGTGTCTTTGGCCAGCAATTTTTCCAAAAATCACCCCACTGGCGAGGGACACAGATTAAGTGACTCCTGTGCCAAACACAGCACACATCAGTGTGTACTGTGTGGAAGAAGCACGTTTGGAATTTGGCACTACTCACAAGCTAAATATGCTCACTGACATGTCTTCCAAGCAAAACCTTAGCTGGGGTTATATGGTATTTCACATTTTCTTATCAAAGTGTAATCCCCTGGTATTGTGCTGCAAGCACCCGTGATGCTCTTGAAATTAAGCCCTCTGCATTGCTGGTCCTGTTATTGAAAGGGTTAGAGAGCTGTATACACAGCTCTGAGTCCAGGGAAGCAAATCCAAAACCTGATTTAGACACTATAGGTAGAGAAGATAATTTTCAAGTATGGAAGGCAGCTGCAGAAGAAGGGTATCCACTGTTAGTAAAGAAAAAACAGATTAGGAAGGCATTATTTACACTAGATAAATCAGAAATGGCATCAAAGTGAGCTAGTATTACAAACTATTAATGAAACACATGATAATGAAACAAATCACATAATAGATGACATCAAAGTGATTCAGTGTAATGAATACTGATACCAACTAAGTGAACTGTGGGCTCTGGGGATACAATTTCAAATCCATTCCAGTGAGTGGTAGTACTGTGAGCAGAAAAAAAGAAAGAATTTGAGTGTTCCATTGTTCATACTGACCACATCCACACCTTAAAATAGTTGTCCTTTCGATGACATAAGTAGATAAAAATTATATTTAAAAGTTATATTACCTACCAAGGCCAAATATAGGAATTTATTATTTTTTCTTGTGTCAAAGTAGCAACTGAGATCTCATGACCCATGATTAGCCAAATGTCCTAATTTCACAGAATAATGTGATTAAATAAACATTAAACATGTTAAAAAGACAGCCAGACAGTATTTTATCAACACAGATTACAAACTCATTTATTTCTTTTAATTATATAAAGCCCATTGCTGCTACAGAACGTGGTAGTGTCTCAAGGGTGAAACAAGTCTAAAATTCAGATCTTCAGAAAGATTTTAGATTTTGAAGGTACAAAAGGTGAAGTCTTTGATTGAGAGGAATGCCTTATATAGCTCATATAAAATATTTGTATTTTGATCACACACATTAAACTTCAGGTGGTGTGCAAGTCCTGATTTCATTTCAGACTTGTCTGTATCCTAAATCCTTCCTGAGTCAATTCTGGCAATATCAAAGCCCAGATCAAACATTAATTTGTGCATTTATAGCTAAACACATTTTTTTTTTTTTAGTGTGCATTTGCAAAAATAACCGGGTCTTTTTTTTGTTTTTCTCTGACCTAAAGGCATTCACACGTGTATTGGAAAGTTGGTTTGATAGCTAAGGAGAGGCACTGCAAAAATCATCAAGCTGAGCAGGGAGCTGCCTAAGCCTGCCTAAGCTATTGCAGTGTTACTGATAACAACCTCTCTTAAGAGACCCTTTGGATCTAAAGGTTCACAGCTGAGGTTCTGGCTCAGCTACAAGATTTTACAATCAAATGTCAGTGAGAGGCTTAGCGACACAGGGTGAACTTCTGAATAACAAGATCCTTATTACGCTCTGTTAGGGTCTTAAGAAAAGCAACATATATTAAGGCTGAAGGGCTGTGCAGTTTGTTTGGAAAATGATTTTGAGAAAATCTAAATTTTAATAAATGTTGAAAATGAAAAAAAAATCATCAAATTAATAATACATACTGACAGATTTGAAATGAATTAAATTTAGTTTAACCACAAATCACTACTGAAACAAAAATATTTGAATATGTTACTACATATGTCTACCATTATGATTTCTCAGTTCAAGTCCACAGTCATGTTACAGATAAAAGTTTCTGATATCTACATTTCTGTCATGCAAAGTTTTTGAGCATCTATAATAGGATCAGAATTCTGTGTTCACGTTAGACATATTTAATTTACCATGATGTTTTTAATACATTGTTTTGACTTTTCTTCACAATAATTACAATGCCTTTAGAATTGCAAAAGACAAGTAAATCAAATCCGCATGAATTTGGAGAAGCATCACACTTGGAAAGAATCAGAAATCAAGCAGCTGTGGATAAAGCTGCACTGTGGTGAGGCCATCACTTTCATCTTCAGCAAGCCACCTTAAGGGAAAAACATAAAAACCTGTCATAGACACAGCACATACAAAACTTAAGAAACAGACAATTTGTGAGAGCCTGGTTCTGCACCTTTGATTTTCTAGGAGAGTTTTTACATTGGTTTATAGAGAAGAAGAAACCAACCTGAAGAAAATAGTTACTTTTAAATTTTTTGTTTTAGTACTCACCTCTGTGTAATTTTAAAGTGTAATTCACTTTATTAATGTATTTATGAAATACACATTAATTTTATTTGTTGGTCATATAGGTAACTAGTAAATTGCTCTGAAGAATGACATAAAGTCAGGTTAATTTAGAGTAGGGAAACATTCTTTGATAGCAAGTTATTGTCCTTGTAATTCATTCCAGGAGCTCTCTCATATCTCTTTCTTGTGCTGAGTTGCATGATGGGCCCATTCCTAGCTCTGTAAGAGTCCATGCAGCTTTTACTGTTGATTATATGAGAAACAGGCCTGAATCCAAATTTCAGGTAGACAAATTTTGACTAATTTAACTGAAAACATTAACACCAGTGGTGTTAATTTCCAAAGAGGGTTAAAAATCTTCCATTCCTTGGAAGGTTTATGACAGTCTACCTGATGTGATGTCTATGAAGGGGGTAGTGTGGCAGGGATTCCCAGGCAGTAAGTACAGCATCAAAGTAGCTCACACCTGAAACAGCACCATTCAGCAGCTGGGAGATGTGGCTGAAGATAAACAGGTTCAGGCTGAAACACAACTGATTTTGGCAGCTGAAACTGCACATGGAAGTCACAGAGCCTAGGAAAGGTGTGATGTGTAAGCTAGATAAACAGGCATTTAAATAGGTTAGCAAAGGATTCAGGTTTCTCAGTGATTAATATCTTCTAGAGACATTATTTGTATTGGAGTCCTTTTTATGTGAGAGAATGAGCCCTTTCCCCCTCCACTCCTTAGGCCATGAGAGGAGAAGCTCCATGAGGAGCTCCATCTCTCAGCTGGAAGAGGGCCATGAACTTAGAGTTTCCTCTATCTGAGGAGCCTCTGGGTCACTGAGTACTCTGGGGTTAACCTCCTAATGTCTCCTACTGAATAACTTCCAACTTGAGTAGGCTTCAAGCCTATATACTTGATGGTAGGCACATAGCTCTGCACCCACCAAGGCCCCAGTTAAATGTCCTTGTCAGCAGCATGTAGAATCAATCTGTGCCAGTCACTCCCCAACACCAATGATGTGATTCAAGTTCTTGTGCCGATCTCTTATATACCTTTGAGCTTTTACTATAAGATTTCAAATAAAATTGAAAAAAAAAAAACAAATCTCCAGGAAAAAAAAAATGTTTGCTGCAGTCTATCTTCTTCAAGAATCTTCCTCTGACTGGTGTGGTCTGAGAGCTCTTACAAGCAAAAGAGATGAAGTGGCATCAACCAAAAATCCTGTCATGGATTGTGTTGCACATCTGAGTGATATTGTGGTTTAAGAACTTTTCTTCATGCCCACTAACTTAGATTTAGTTATCTAGAAGATTAGAGAGTATCTGAACATGCCTTTCGAGGAAGTTGAAGCAAGGAAAGTTTAATGTTGTTGGAAGAAGTTTAATATTGTTGAGGTCAGTAACACTCTCACACTCTCATGATTTAGACTGTAGAGACCAACTGAGTATCCAAGAACTTAAAAAGTTACCTTTTTTTTTGTGTTCAGGGACTGGGATTTGGCTTCCATTAATTGTCAAGTTTACAGAAATATTTAGGGAAAGGATAAAATTAGATATTCTTGGCTACCATTTCTGTTTTCAGATTACCAGGTATCATTCCTCTTTCTAGATACAGGGAACTTGTAAATTTTCACACTTCTGTGTTCTCCAGATGCATTAAAAAGCTAATTTTCACTTGGGAGGACATGAATATGTTTGCATCAGTTATTTATTCTGAAATTCTTCAAGCTGTGAACTATATATTGTAGTGAACAGTCTCTGCAAATTTACTCTTCAATTTAATTTCCAATTCTTGAAACTGTATTGCTTCAGTTTGTTGCAGACTGATGTGAACCTTCTTCTTGACCATCAGAAGCCCTTTACCCAAGAAACCTGGTGCCTAAATACATTTCTAAGTTTAGATCATTATAGTTCCAGATTACATTATATAAAGCTTTTTTTTTATCTTTGTCCTATTTGCTGAATGTATTTTGGGCCCATACTAAGCAAACATTGAAACAGAAGGATTCTGATGTTTTAATCTTGCCTTTGCTCAATAAAATACACTACTTCTTCCTCGGGTTTTGAATCTATGCAGCCGTACTCCACTGTCCTCCTTTCTGATTCCCTTCTGTGCCTGTTTGCTTCTCCCTGATATGTTTGCCAGAGCTATTTATGTGCTAATGGTTGTATAGTGGTTCACCAGACACCTTCTAACTCTTAAAAATATATATGAGTACTTTCTCTAGGCAAAGACATTAAATTATGTCTTTCCCTCCTATTATCATCCAGTTTTAATTGCTTGGAAAAAATCTAGTGTCTTCCTCTAAGAATTCTGACAAGTTAGTTTCAAGTTGGCCAAAGGGTTCAAAAGTCATTGGGGATGGACCGATAGGAACACAACAGTGTAAAAAAAAAAAATAAAAACAAAAATCATTACTGTCTTAGAAAACCAGACAGAAGCAACTGAGAAACTTGTGAAAAAGAAAACAGCATGTACAGAGTGAAGATGGACTGATCTACTGACCTGTTACAGTTGAAGCAATGCATTGAATTCCTAGCTGCATCTGTGATTTCCACTTTTTCTAGAAACCAGCCACTTGCTGTAGAAGGAAAGAAAAAAAAAAAAAAAAAGAGCAAATTTACTATAACCAAAACACAAATACAGCATAAGAAAGGTTTCTAATTTCATTTCCCAAACCCCATGGGGTTCAGTACTTTCAAGTATATTCAACATCAATAATAAAACTGAAACACAGATGATTCAAATTACTACCAACATCTCTCAGTTTTACAGGGAAGGTCTTTGATGTTTTTGACAGAAAATATAATGGATTATTTTTCTTACAACTTAACTTATTTTTCCAGATTGGATAGAACAGGCAGTAAGACAAATGAAACAGAGTGCATGGTAATATTGAATACGTTCTTGAAAACCCCTTTTTGCCCTTTGAGGTACTTGGAAATGCACTCAAAATGCACCCCTAGTGGACGATCTACTACTCTTTTCTAATGAATATATTGATATGGATGTGAACCAAGTGGTGAAACTAAATGCTTCTCATATCCCTCTTTTTCCAGCAGTCATGATTCAGAATAGCATTTTCATTTAGGCCAACACTCATATTCATTTCAGCTTTAAGAAAATAAATATTCTACTTTAATCTCCTATTTTGTGGTGTGAAGAAGTACCTTCATTCTTGTGATGCAGAATTTTATTTCATAGAATATTAAAAGATTAATATTTTAAAATCAAAACTTTATTTTATGTATACAATGTCTATGCTGATGTCTTTAGTTGTGTTTGCCAGTGCAAATATTTAATGACAACATTTTAAAACTAAATAGGATCATACTGTTAGTAGCTGACAATCTTTTGGCATTCTTTACGCATCCTAGAGATAAAGAACTATAGCCTATCTAATTATTTTGGTTTTCAAATATTTGGACAAAGTACTAAGTAGGCTAAAACCAAAAATATATTTATTTGTAAATGCTAATTTTAAATTGTACATGCTGAAAATGTAATGTAAAAATATTTGCAAATTGTGTCGGTTTGGATAAAATGTAAAGGTACAGCAATGTTTCTTATTTTTCAATGACATTTTCAAAATAATAGCTGGATTAAGTAGGCCATGAAGGTGTCTAGGTATTCCACCTTCAATTCACAAGATTCATTTATTGATATTGTGAAGTACATTTGAAACTCTTTTAATGAAATCTTATGAATGGTTTAATATATCGTAGACTCCACTTGGAATAGATGACCTTTCATGAAATCACTAAATCAGAGTCAAGATTATCAGCAATAAAATTTTACAGTCTCTCAAATTTACACAACACTTTACAAAAGAGTAGAAAGGCAAGTTTGCACTCTTGAAAAGATTAAAAACTAACGCTTCATCCTTTATTGACAAAACTCCAACAGACCTCACTGAAATCTCCAGGTATGGAGAAATCTAGAGGTAGCTAGCATATATTAGCAAACAGATGAAACATCTCAAAGAGATGTAACATTTGGGGAAGCTTGTGGGGATAACAGCTGATGTGACAAAAGACGCTTGGAGGTAATTTCAGAGAAATATTTAGAGGAAGGTTGTCATATCTAAGGTGAATCAACACCCATCAGCTGGTCTAGGAAGGCACTATTAGCACCTATGTGATGTTGATCAGGACACAGAGAGGAAAAATAATAATTTTATTGATAGATCAGGACCCAGGAACTAAAAGGTCAATCTATTATTTCCTCTGCAGACTTCTGTGCAACTCTCAGTACCAAAAGTCTGCCATTGTGGAATTCCCTTCCCAGATCAGATCAAAGTTGAACCGTGTGCATGTATACCAGTTATCACAAATAAGATGAAAGTCAGCAGGACAATCTTGTTTACTATAGATATTTCAACAGGTTGGAGTTTTATTCTGTTTTCAACACCATGAAATATACAACATGATTGGGTAGTAAGGAAAATAAAAAAGTTGTTCAACATTGTCCAAATAGGAATTGCTATTTGCAGAGTTTTTCTTGGTTCATCCTAGAAATGATAAACCCTTTGGCACTTTATTATGCTTCATGAACTTAGATTAATCAGATTTTATTAAACCTAAACCTATTTCTTTGAGATGAGTTAAACAAACTTCACCTGACTAGAGTATCTTAATACAATCAGACCTTTTTTATTCAAGTTATATATTCCCTGCAAATTCAGTTTATGCATTTGTATATCTCTGTATATCTGCATGTATGTTGATATCTGCATATCCCTAGGGGGTTTTAGTACTATTAAATGTAAGCTCAAAAGATTATATGCCCTAGCCTCCCATTTTATTTTTATGTAAAGTTCAGGGTTTAGAGGTTACTGTACACAGAAACATTTTGCATCATCATACGTGGTTTTGTTATATAGCCACATTCTAACTTAACATCAGGACAGGACTTGGTGCACTCTGGTGTTCTCAGACTTTCACAAGAGGAGATCTATGGGTGTGAGAGGGAGCTACAGCATGCTTTGATCACAGACCCCAAACTTGCTCAAATCATGGGAAGTTTAGCCTGCAGTTTGAAAATTCAATCCTATCTTATTTAAAACATCTAATAAGGGCTTTGGCTGAGCAATGTTTGAAGGATAAAACTATCTGAGGTTTATTTTATTTTATTTTATTTTATTTTATTTTATTTTGAGGTTGTTTTTTTTTTAACTAGATCACTGTTAGGAAAAAAAAATAAATCATGGTATAGTCAAGGGAAATGTGATGGTGTGAAAAGAAGGGCAGTAAAGCTGACCTCATTTGTACACAGATTTGCATTAGCTAGCTGTAGCAGTACTGTGACTTCAAACACCTTTCCAAATGTCAGGTAGATCCTTAAGCAGAAGATGTTTGCAAGGCTATTGAACACAGAATACTTACCAAATCCTTTCCCATCGTGGCCAATTTCAATTGAACGTAGGCTGCCTAATTTTTTCGTCTTAATCTTGAATGTGTCAACCTTTAATATTAAAATACAGTTATTAAAAATATTATGCCAATGTTTGGAAGCTTAGATATTTGTCTAGGTCAGTTCTGAGACCAATTCAAGTGTAATGGTAGAAATTCAGAATAAGTGAACCACTAATGTGGTTTATTTTCCTTACTAATGATGTGTGGCATAGATCCTCTCCTATTAGGTCTCAGTTTCAACATAAGAGATTCACTTTTCCTCTTATAGTATGATAATCCCTACCTCTTTCTTGACTTTCATCTACTGTGAAAATATTTTTAGTCTCATGAATCCTCAACTGGTAATCTAAAATGTTTTTAGTATGTGATATGTAAATAAAAATTCAGGAACATAAAAGTTAAAGGCTTTTACTACATTAACCATTATTCCTCTCAAATATGATGTACTTTAATTTAAAATATTACATTGTTTCATATTGCAGATTTTTAAAAATAATTTTTTTTTTCCAAAGGCCTTTGACATCACTGGCCACCCATTAGCTGGATTGGTAATGGGATTTCTATGGATCTATTCTTCTTTTTTGAAGGGTAATGAAACCTCCTGTGTAGTACCAGCAAAAGGAAGTACTACCCTAGACCTTTTTTACTTGCTCCTTGTGCATGTAGGTAACTAGATTTATTATCCTCCTCATCATGGAAGACAATTCATGGGTAAATATCTTTATTTCACAGACAACCTGGCTGAAGAAATTCAGACTAATTCCAGATAAAAAGATGATTAATATTGCTGGAGATAATGAGGTAGATCTCTTAAGGGATATATTTTCACTGGAGTTCTAATTATTTAGTCATTACCTTTCAATTACTCCAGAAGAGAAAGTTACAGAGAATATATATATATTTCTTTTTTACTTAAGGGTAACCATCATTGTACTCATTGCACTCCATTGCACGGGTGGTGACCAAATAGAGCAATTTCTTTGCCAGAATAATATGTTTATTAAATTAGGAGAACATCCAGCCAAAGTACTAGGAGATCATGCAGAGAATCTACATTCTTATGCAAATATTTGTATCTGAACTAAGGGTCTCTGAATAACAGCCTAAAGCATGATGGATATCAGAATCAGGCTGATGTGTATGGTTCCATTTCATCTGCTTTTAGGCTTATACAGTCAGGGATGCTCACAGCACCAGTTTCCATGGCAAAGTGAAACGATGGGATGTAAGAACTGATGTGTTCTCACGCACGATATCTGAGGTGTGTGCAAGAGCACAGAGCAGCACTCACACGTGTGCATGCAACACACACTGTGCTTTTCAGAGTGAGGAAACACATCACTGGCACCTAGGTGGATGCAATATGAAGATGTATTCGGGACTAAGAGGCAGAAGAGCAGCAGAGACAGCTAGATTCAGTAGAAGTAAAATGTTCCTTGGTGAATCTGGTGAAAAGAAGAAACACAGGGTGAACTGAGACTATACCTCATGTAGTGATGTGGAAAACAGAATAAATGCCTCAAGTTTTCTAAATAACTTGTGTAGATTTAATGTTTGCTTTTCCAGTACAGAAATGGACACAATCTATAAAACCTGTGTACTCACCTTTCCTCTTTCAAAGGGGTTTTGATGCTCCAGTGACTGAGAGAGTTGAAATACCTCAGATTTGTCCTCACTCCCACATAAAATAATATGCACATTGGCATCAGTCCCTGCTCCCCTTTTGTCACCTGTGTACACCTTAATAGTATACTCTGTCAAATTTTTTACTTGACTTTCTTCTTTATTCAAGTTGTTATCTATGTCATTTTTTTGTTTCTCTCCTCTGAAAACAAAAGATCCCAGGATTTCTCTCTGTATTTTGGGCTTATTTGCATTCACAGAAAATTCTCTGAAAAACAGAACCACATTTTTCTTTTTCGCATGTAAATAATATGTTAAATTAAAACAATCCTATGAATTTATGGGGAACAGCTAAAGATGGGCATATTTTTAAAATATCTATTGACAGAATCACTCTATGGCAGTTACTTTAATTCAGTGTCTGCTCAGTGCTTTCAACTATCATGCTATAAAAAAACCCCAAACATTACTAGCTTTACAGAATATACTTACTCATTCACTTCAAATACATAGATGGGATGGTCCTTTGCAGCTTCTTTCACATGCAATTTTTTAATGCCCAGTTTGCAGTCTGCAGAGAAGGAAAGAGAATATAGTGAAAATGTTCCATTGCATGACAAGAAATTAGATAGTGTTGTTCATATAATGGCATTCTTACTATATGAAAACTTCATTTTTTTTATTAATTTATGAATCCCAACAACTGAGTTGAAAGTGCTGGAACAACTACAAGATTATTTATTTTGTTCCTATTTGTAAACCTCAACTTAGAAATTTAGGAGTAAGCATTTCCTTTGTTTTAGTGAAGCAAAGGAGTGTTGTCCTCACTGTCTGGACAGGCATGCAGAAAAGATTCAGCATGACTTGGGCAGGCACATTTGAGAAGGAAGAGCAGAAATACACATCTGTTACTTCCTCCTCAGGGACTGGTTGACAAGAGGATTGGAGCACAAAGAGCATCTCATTAAGTGGCAGGTAAGAAGGGAGTTCAGCAGCTCACAGTATCCCTCTGCTGTTTGGGAAAGACTGCTCTCTGACTTACACTCCTTTCTGAATTTTCTGCTGGGGTTTGCATGGCCTGAGTGTCTTGCCACTAGCTAGTCATGAAGACTATTCATTTTCCCTTCTCTTCTATTATTTGTAGCTTCAGCCCTGTTCAACAAACTGCATTCCAATCTCTTCTACTATCCAACTCCCTTTAATTATATCAATAGGATATAACCAGGCTTCTGTGGAGGAATGCAGGACATTGTGTTACACTCGTGACCTATCAAGATAAGCGCATAGGGAGTCAGAAGTTTCAGGAAGGGACCGTGAGCCATCTGATCTTAAAAATTTCCTCTGATAAGGAATGAAAGCATAAATGCACTAGAGAACATTTCCTGGACTGATCAGTCCTGCAGGGTACATCTGACTTCAAAGAGATTTTATGGGGCTTGGGATTTTTGGTTCAAAGTCTTGGTCCAAACTAGCCTCAGTGCAAACAAGTCTAGTTACAATATGGATAGCCTTACTCATCTGAAGTGTTTTATCATCTAAGTAACTTCTTTGAAAGAAATATCTGCAATAAGTCACCCCAACCCTCTCTTCACAACACACACAGAGGTGAGGAGCCCAGTGTCCCTCCTTTGTGAGTTGTGTTTCCAAACCTGAGTGGAAAAGTCTTGCCTGTCACTCTCTCCGTGGTGCCCTTTGGCTCCACACACCACATGCAGTGGCTGTCAGTCAGACTGACGGCTGTAGTTAACTTTCACAACTGAAGCTGTGGGAAACAAAAGCAGTGAGCTACACACCTTGCTCCCTGCAGCAGCGTGGCAGGGCTGTCCCTCTCCTTCCCTTCCCCTCTAGAGTAACCCTAACACCATATCCCCCTGGGAATGACCACAGCAGCCTGTGCCGGGGTGTGGGATGTGTTGACCAGCCAAGGAGTTTGTTCATGCTCACTGCCCCAATGTCACCTTACACACTTGGCTGAAATCGGGTGCTGTGCCTAAAAGGTTTATATGAGGAGCCTCCAGATGGAGCAAACAAACAACAACAACAACAAAAGACAAAGTGCAAAAGATAAAGTGCAAACATAGAACCCTTGTTTCCCTAGAAAACCATCTGCAAATGGTTAAGTAATGTTTTGCAATTCTATAGTAAATTTCATTAACAGATTTCAAAAAATGGTATAATTAATTCTTTGAGTAAATAGCATGATGAGCATCCAACAGATATAGCAGAGAGATGTTGAGGTCAAGACAATTTTAAGGAAGTTCAGTGACAAAACTTGCTGACTGTCAAGCAGAGGTAAAATTTCCCTCTGAATGTCACAGGGAGAAAACAGAACTGGGGGGGAAAAAAACAGTGATAATAATTGAATCACAGAAGGAAAATTAAACAATACCTATTTCTTACTGGAGTTATAATTATTCTCCTAGATAACTTATTAGTAGAACATGTATTAAGTGCAGAATATAATTATATTCATCTAAATTTTCTGTTATTTTTTCTTGTATGCAAGGGAATAGTTTACTTTCCTGATGCAATAACGTTCTAACCTTTAGATCCCAGGATTTTATTGTCAAAATGCAGGATTTTGCTTTATAAAACACTACCCTTTAGAAAAAATAGCCAAAAGGAATTAATTAGGATTTAACTCTGCCAGTGTCTTTGTTGTCTTTAACAGGAGGCTAGCACTGTAATTTACGTGGCTGACTTTAGAAAGTAAGAAGTATTTTACCTGTTTTACTGCTGATCAAAAGAACAATTTTTTCCAGTTCTCCCAAGTCAACAGCCTCCATGATAACTAGAAATGACTAAAAGAAAATTATTCAGGATTGTAATATAAAACCATGTTACTTAACATGTAAATATAATATGTATTATAATATACATATATTATATAGAAAATAATATGTAGGAAGGACAAGAATAGATTAAAGGGTAAATTTTAAAATATTTCAAGACAGAGTACCTCATTTTTCTCTCCCTGCTGTACATTCTGCAATGACTGGAGAAGGGATCTGTCCCCTGTGTCACCACGAGTACCATATATACACACAGTCATATTCACTAATTTTCTCTCATTCAAAATATTTATTGAAAATACTGTTAGATGATATGTAACCACTGCAATATCAAGCAAAAAGAGACAAAAAGAGATCTTGTTAAGACTGTGCCACAACCTTGTACAGCTATTTGACAACACAGCATTCACAGTCAGATGTAATTAAAATTGAAGCACTTGAAATTAATAGCAAAACTCAAAATTTTTACAATTTTTTTTCCTCATGATTGTTTTCCCACCATCTCCCAGATCTGAAATTTGAGAAGAGAGGCTGGACCAGTCCAAAACAAAAGTGAAAGGATTGCATTTGGAAGGTATGATTCTTGGATCACTGTGTCAAAGAGCAGCAAGAGTGGACCTGCCCCACAAGAGTGAACAAGGTAGAAGCTGAGCACAACCCCAGCTCAGGCAGTGCCCTTCCTGACCAGGTCCCGCAGCATCTGCATGAGGCAGGCAGGGCTGTCAACAGTCCCAGGTGCAGCAAACAGTGAAAAAGACCTGGGATCCATCCTGGTGATTGAGCTGGGGGCAGAAGGAGAAAAGGGCAGAGAAAGGAATGAGAACAAGGCTACAACATAGGTCCAAAGTCTGTGCAGAAGAGGGGGGCAGAGAGAGAACTAGAGAAAGGTGCACATACGATGTAGCTCAGGCATGATCTGACTGGGACATCCTCTGCCCATGGGGGCTGGGGGTTCCAGGTGAGTCCAAGCAAGGCAAGTTAGATCTGTACACTCCTACACTGATACACTGGAGTCAAGTGGAGAGGCTGCCTTCATGAACTTTGGGTCAGATGTGGATGGCACCGGGAGAGTCCATTGTACAAAGGAGGGCAATTGAGGGAGATTGATGTAGGTAAGGGGTAGGAGGGCTAAAATGCTTAAATTGTTTGGGTGGTGCAATCAGATCACAAGTGTAGCAACCAAGCTTTTATCTCTCCAGTGTACTGAATAATTTGGAAAGGGGAAAGATTAAAGGAATCCCTGAAAAGAAGTTACGTACAACAAGGGTAACATATATGAATGTTACAACTCCATTAATTTTATAAAATTCTAATTATTTCATAATATCAACATGAAGTACAGCTCTCTGTTAAATTTATGGGAATAATCAGCTTGAAAGCAGCATATTAGGTTTTTTCCAGCTTTTCAATATTTAATTGTTTTGCCTTAAAAACGACAGTAGTGCAAAATTGACCTTCTGAACAGCCCTGTGTGTGAGAGGAGAGGGACAGCACCAAGTCACCCCTGGGGATTCCTGAGATGTCTCAAAGGAAGGTACAGTAAAGGGAAACTAATGTATATACTCAGCTGGAGGCCTCTGCTCATTAATACACCCAAAGGCACAAGTGTGCACTGCCAGATCTCGAGGGTCTGTACTATATCAACTGCATTTTGATGGCTTCAATTAGCCATTAGTAAATGCTTCATCACAATCCCAAGAAGAACGTTTTTAAAAAAAGGGAAATATAACTGAGATAAAATACTAAGGCACTCTGTGAATGACAGAGCTGTATCTGAAATTTAACATCACTTGGCTTCTGGTTATGGCAAGTGTGATTAGCTGCTTTCCAGTCCAATTAATACAATACTGGTTTTTCTTTTAACTGAGAAAAAGGAGAAAATAAATTAGGTTTAGAAAGCTGTCAAAAAGCATATCTGATTTTCACAATAAATTGCAAGTAAATTTGCCTGTAAAAATCACTTTGAACTTCGCATGTGCCACCTGCTGTGGAGCTGCTTAAAGCTCTCTTGGACATAAATGGCAAAGATTTGGGGGAATCGCTGTCCTAGTTTTTTTTCTTCACTGGTTACAAATCCCTCCTTGAAGATATCTAAAGCATGGATGGAAAGAAATAAAAAACACTGAAATGAGCTATTTAATTTGTTTGTTCTTTTACCTAAACTTATAGAGAATATATATATTCCTTGTTTGTGATTTTTCATCTCTTGATTTCAGAATATTTACAAAGAATAAAAATATTATTAAAAAAAAAAAAACAACAAAGAATGGGGAAGTTATTTTTTCAGCCAAGAGGTCAGTGATAGAGACAGAGCCAAGGTCACAAGGACTCCGGTCTCACTGCCCCTTTATCATCCATGCTGCATTTTTCTCTCCTCATTTCTGTGTGCTTATACCTCTATCCTGAATACTTCTGCATGTGACAGTGATAAGTCCTTTTCAAGGGGTGCACTCATGTGCTTTATGTTAATCTGAAGGTCCTCTTTGTTTCAGTCTTGGTGCAGGAGATGAAAACCATGGAGCCCTGTTCTGTACCCATACTGTGTAAGTGGTCAAGTGAAAATAACACCTCTAAGCAATATAAAATCTAAAGCCTAGATACAAACTTTAGATTTTCAATTGCAGGCAAATTATACAAAAAAACCCCAAACCTCAATCTCTGTTACTTCTACTGAGATTATTTACATAATTTTGGATGCACTCAGAAACCTCACTGAAACTGGGCCATAAGCTCCAATCCAAAGTATGTGTAGTTCATTTTATGTCTACTTCAGCTCACTTTAGATGAGCTAATTTTTTTACCCAAATAATTATTTTATTTTTTTTTCTGCAGAAAACCCAGGCACAAATTACTTGAATATTAAGTATCATTATTTCATCTATTAATTAAGTTAGTATTTGTTCCATCATATGGCAGCATTCAGTAAGCATCACATTAGGGAACAGGATAGATTTTAGGTGAAAGGATTTCTTTTATTTTACTTAACCAAGGTGACAAATGTAAGAACTGTTCAGCTAATTTTAGGAGGCATAAATATTTGGAGTGTATAAAGGTAATAAAGCTGAAGCTTATATGTAGTTTTGAGCTGTTATTTACTGAGAATATTTGTTTGGAATGTGCAAACAAACAACAAAAACACTTAATAGTAAATGAGCTATAAAAAATCATGTTGTTAATGTCAGTAATATGAGCAGCTGAGGACTAAACAAAATAGGTTGGAAATATAATATTGCGAGAAAATGATATTTCTTATAAACTGCTCTTTGTAGCATATAATAATGATTCTGTACAATCAAGTGAATATTGCATTTCCCACTCTATGGCACAGAAATTAAGCTGAGTAGGTAATATTTTCCTTCATACATTTTAAATTCTTACTGAGTCTCCGTGAATCATTAAATAAAGACAATAAAAATTTCTGTTTTGATAAAGGTTTCTACTGTAATACCAGGACACGTTAACCTCCTGAACCACTCTACTGCTTTGAAATAGATTTATACCCACCAGAAAGTGCTTCTTTTAATGGCCACTGTATAGGCAATTCAATCCACCTGTCTCCATTTGGAGAAAGAGGAAGTGTTTTATTTATGGTGAGACTAAAGGTATCCAGGGTTGATGTGTTCTGTATTTTAAAGTGACAAAGAGACCGCTGGGATACGTTGTTTTCCAAACTCTGGAGACCAAGTCTCACTTTATAAAGCATTCCCAAATCAGATGGCAAATGTATCTAGGGATCAACAAAACAATGAGTTATCATCCAAACAGAGGAATACTGATAAATGCATAGGTAGTTTACAGGAAGAGAGGAAGCTGGCTCTGAAGGAATCAGCACAGCCCTGCACCTATTTACACCAGTCTTGGTGCTAAAAGTCCCATTCACTTCAAAAGCAGCAGAACCAGATCGGCTGTAGGCACTTAAGGACATTTTAGCTTTATCCTCTAGGGGCATTCATTGTAATTGTTCTATCAAATCCAAATTACATACGACAATGATTTCTAATGTGAATAAGTAATGTTAATGTCATTTAAAATTATATGCATTATTAACTATGACTATTTGTTGGGGAAAAAATAATATGCTTGATCATCATGAATTTGAGAAAGCCAGAAATTAAAAATGAAATCAGGCATGCAACTGAAAACTTCAGCTCTGATTTTCTTAAATACTTAAATAATAATACGTCAAATATTTACAGCACTACTTGATTATTTCTCTTTAAAGGGAAACTCAAGAAAAAATTAAATATAGGCAAATCTATATATTTTTTTACATCATATGTTATTTGGTTCTCAGTTTGATGATCCACTTTGTTTTCCATGGAAACTGGATTTGACTTGCCGTTGCTTCCATAAAAAACCATAACCATCTTGGATATATTTTCTGACAACTTTTCAAATTCTGATTTTGTTTCTTCTTGATGCTTTTTGAAATAAATTCTCCATTTGCCTTCTGAACAAATAAAATAAGGAAAATAAAAAGGAAAAAACATTAAGGATGTTTCTGTTTTCATATATTAACAAAGCTATCTGACATAAAATTTCTAAGACATGCTTTGTTCTACATGGGGAACATTATTTTATAAGCATGTCACCTGGATATTGAGCAGCTCCCCAAGTTTATTGACATTTTTTACTTAGAAAGGAGAAACTATTGTCAATACTAGTAAGCATAATGACATACTATGATGAAAATATTCTCATATCATTATTTCAGAACTGATTAATAAAACAGTCAATGTAATGACAGAAGCTATACCTGAATTCATTTGCTGTCTTCCTAAAGGCCAGGCAGATGTACTCCTCCTCTCCTGAACTTCTAATTTTAAAAAAAAGATCAAATTAATATTTCTGTTGAACAGTGTCTCTATGATAATAAAGGTCTGTATTCCTGTCTAGTGAGGCAATTGACTGAGCATTATATCATTTAGATTAAAGATTTAACTAGGAAATGTACAGTGTGATTTTCTATTTAAGCATCATCTAAATATCATCCCATTACATAAACTGTCTCTAGGGCTGGCTCTTTACTAGGAAAATGGTAGTAACATGAAGATTCAAATATTTTTTATTTTAAAGCATTTCTATTTCATTTGTACAATTTATGCTCTGGATGAATGAGCACTAATTGGATATCTTTAATGCCCCTTCTAGAGGCTGGTGTTCCTCCCACAGATAATAGTCCCCATTGATTTCATCGGGATTTGGTATAGATCAAAGCTGCTTGTAAACACTAGGTAGTGACCTGAACCGAAAACAAGACTTCTTTTGAGTTCATAACCAAGATTGGATTTGCCAATTATTGTATTAAGAAACTCACAGGAACATTTGTCTAAATCAATGAAGTCTAGTAGAAACAGAACTAAATATTCCCTTTTTTTATTTTTTTTAAAAAAGTCCCACATACAAACTAAATTAAAGCTGAAATTATTTGCTTTTGCACACTAACAGTTTCCTCCTTTACTTTCTGTTTTCAAATGATCAGAAGCTAGAGATCATACAGCAGAGGAAATTGATTGAACTAGGATCTTCTTCAGCCTCGAGAGGCTATTGCTGGACAAGTGCCAGGAAATGCTCAGGGAGTTAGGAAGAAAAAAAAAACTAGAACATGTTTTGTAATCCAAGGACTCATCTCAGTCAATTAACTTCTCTGAGAGGCAGGAGAATAAATACATCTGTCTTAGAGATACACTCAGGCTTTGGTGCCTACTGATCTGGTTGCAGGGTGTTGCAGTTCCCCCCAGGGTGCACACCAGATTGTATTGAAATCCATGCTTGGATTGAAACCATGGCACAGGGAGGGAGGAAGGGAGGGAGGCTGTACATTCCCTTCCTGTCGTGACAAAGAGCCACAGGCAGTGGGGTCAACATTGCTCCTCTGTGGCCTGATTACTCACATGGTGTCAGTCAAAAGTATCTCCAATTTCTGGCAAAAGCTGTCCAAACAGTGTAGCATAAAAAATGGAAATTAGTCATCTTGAATACAATGGAGACATTTTCACCACTGCTTAAGCAGAGTTTTCCCCACTTTTTTACCTCGTTTTCACTCTGACTAGCAAGTAATTGTTATTACAAGCTTAAAAAATATTTTGCAAGTGTAGAAGTAAGATTTGGAGAGGAAGGAATTTGTAAAAAGGAATAGGACAAATTTGTTGGCATTTACACCACTGAAAATCTGGAGTAAGAAAGCAAATATTATCCTCTGGCAAATAGTGGTTATTAAGTGGTACTAAAACACAAAGTGTTCAGACACACTAATTCCCTGTATAATGACAATGTTCTTCTGGAATATTTTAAATCACAATTTGTTTGTAGAAGCAAATCATATAGCTGCATTCTCCAGTTTGGAATGAATTTCTTAGTGGGTGATAGTTTGAAGATAGTGTTGACCTGTGGCGTCCAGAGTTACTGAGGCAGATCTTTTTCCATCACATCCGTCTTTAAGCCATGTTTGAGCCATAAACAATGTTTCTGTCCCTGAAGATGCTGACTCTTTCACAATAATCTTCTCCAGAAGCCAGTCAGAGCCTCTCCCTTTTTCAACAACCATCCTTTGCAGAATACCAATATCCACTGCCTCCACTTGAAAAATATCCACCTGAAAAATTCAGAATCAGAAGTCATATGGAAACAGAACCATGTAACTAAATTATCAGTGTATTTTGAGGTATGAAAATTAGAAGAAAATCAGGATTTTTTTATTAATTCAATCAATACCAACAGAACCAGAGATTAAATGTTTAAACATGCTAAATGCCTACATTAAGAAGTATTTATTCCCTTTGTGGCTCTGCAATTTACAGCTAAACTACCTCTTTGCCCACACAGTTGCTTATCCTCACTTCATGAGAAATTTTCTTCCCCAAAATTGATGTTCAGTGATCTACAGGGATTATATTTTAAACATATCTTACTCTCAACATAATAAACCCCAAGGGTTATTTCAGGAATGAAATACAGGGAATGGGAAGGGTAGAAATGAACATCACAAAAAGAATCTCTTAGGAAAGAATGACAAACTTGGTTCCAGATTTGGAATACCTTGTAGGATTAGTTTCAATATAAGTAATTGAATTTAAGGAAAAATATTAAATAAAAATATGTTGAAATAAGTTTTGCTATTCTCTCTCAGTTAAAAAAGCCACAATATTTTTACAACGTTTAGAACACTGAAGTAAGATTCCTAAAGGAAATTGTGATATATCAGACATTCAACGCTTTCGCAATATGTGATTTTGGCTTGAAACGAGTGTTACACTTATTTCCTGTTTCCTTGATGGAAAAACAGTATCAAATTCTTGGCACAGACACTTTCCACATCTTTTGCTTTAAAGATTTATGAATTATCATCTCATTTCTACTGGGGTTGATAACTGTTAAAATCTAGTGCTATTTGTGATGGAATTTCCAGCAGGACTTAAAGATGCAAAGATGGTTTTGAAGGGACTAGGTAGCAATAATGATGAAAACACTTGAGTCATGAGAAGTCTTGAAGTCTTCCCGACGTAATTCGCACTGAAGTTGTTCTGCCAGAGCAAGAGGGCAGCAACCCTTATGCAGAGATGAAACAGAGAATAGCAGTTCTCTTGCTCCACCAATCACAGTTTCTTTCCTGGACAAGTTTTCCAGCTGAAGAACTGATGAAAGATTTGTGTCACAAAGATGAGCCTAACCAGCTTGCACCTTAATAAGACACAGCATAAGCTCAAATATTGAGCTTTAAATTGCAGATAATATATGACCATCCTCTTTAAAAAGATTCCACAGAAAGAGAAAAAAAAAAGAAATTTGTTCTTCAACTTTCATTTCTTGTTTTTCATTAATATCTGCACATCTGCACAGGTGAATTTGAAAGTGCGTGTGTTTGTGAACCACACTATTAACAGTGTCCTAAAAATAATAACCTGTTACTGATTACTCTATAACTTCTAGAGAGAAAGGTCATATTAGTCAAAACTGCTCCAATGTACCACTTAATCATCACATCTGCATTATCACTCTTAAGTTACCATATAAAATGGGTAAATGAGACAATGATATTAAGGAAAGAAATAATCTGAAAGAGGACTTAAATAGCTGTACTTCCTCTCTAGGAGTCAAGGTTATCAGCGGCTTAGTGAATTTAACAGCAGAGCAAATACATTGGAATGGCTGAAATTCTAGATGGAGAGCAGAATTGCAGGAAGAGAGGCTCCTCTTAATGTTTCCCTTATCTAAATCAAAAATATTGAGGTTTAGTGTCAACACGACCATTTTATTTTATTACCTATTGGATTAATTTGATGATTGAATGCCATTGATTTGAACTCTTAATTTACCTTAATTGTGATATTAATTTGATCAGTCCTTTATTCCAGCTTTAATTGGATTGGTAAAGTTATACCATCATGCCTGAATAAAATGAATTTGTTACACTTATTAAATAAAATGTATTTAAAATACACACAGTTAGGAGATGACTGAAAAACACAGACTGAAGTAAGAAAAATACAGACCTCTGTGTCTGTCAATAATAAATTATTTTAAGTTCACAAAATGGGAAAATTTACCTAAAATTTCTGCTAGTTCTTGCAAATGATTATGCTTATATTAATGCATGATTGTTAAGGTTTTACCCCAGGCAGTATCCAACCTCCACAGAACTGCTCGCTCAGCCCCTCACCAGCAAGATGAAGGAGAGAATGAGAATGGTAAAAGCTAGAAAATTTGTGGGTTGAGATGAAGTTTAATAGAGAAAGCAACAGCCATACACACAAGGAGGGCAAAACAAGGAATTAATTCAGTGTTTCCCATGGGCAGGCAAGTGTTCAGCCATCCACAGGAGAGCAGGGCTCCAGCACTCGTAGCAGTGACGTGGGAAGACAAACACCATTACTCCAAATGTCTCTTTTCCTCCTTCTTGCCCCAGCTTTATATACTGAACATGATTCCACATGGTCTGGAATATCCCTTTGGTCAGTTGGGGTCACCTGTCCTGGCTGTGTCTCCTCCCACCCTCCCATGCACCCCCAGCCCCCCTCACCAGCGTGGCAGCACAAAACGCAGAGAAGGCCTTGGCTCTGTGTGAGCCCTGCTGAGCAACAACAAAAACAGCTCTGAATTATCAACCCTGTGTTCAGCACAAACCCAGAACAGAACCTCATATAGCCACTGGGAAGAAAATTAATTCTACCCCAGCTGAAACACACACAATTATATTACTGCAAACACATGAGAAAGCTCTTGTCAGGTACTTGTTAGAATAATTTCTTTTTAAGTGAAAAGAGTTTTCCAGAAAATGACTAATTTAGTGGCATGATCATCAGCATCTCCAAAAAAATCTGTTGTCAGTCATCCACCCTTGGAAAGGAGATTTAGGAATATAGGAAAACTACAGACAATATTCTTCTGGGTTCTAGACTTGTGCTGTCTCCAGAAGGATAGTTGGGTCTGACTTGCACCAAGTTTGATGGTTAACAAACTCTTCGTATGCATTAACTTAATAAAGTTAATGACTTAATAAATCAGGGGTGGCATGTGCTATGGGTTATCTGAAAAAAAAAATTTAATGTTTGGTTTGTGTTAGATACACCACTTTATTATTTGTCAATGTGCCATTTTAACAAGCTCACTTTAGAGAATGCAAAATCTCAGAAATCCATGGTCAAATCTGCAGACTATTCAAACATCTAATAAACTGCAAGTTAAGGGACTATTAAATAGACTAGAAATTGTGCCATCTGGGGTAAACTCCCTTCACAGACAAGATTACATTCTCTCTTTATGTGTATATTTGAAAATCTACACAGTGTAATGAGCTTTATTGTAGTCAAGAGACCAAAAAAGAATAAAGAGCAGCAAGTATAATGGTTAGAGCTAAAAACAATTGGCTAGAGATAATTTATTTGCTAAATTTAATTCACTTTTCTCCTCTCAAGATCTCTGCAAACAGAGAGATTATGACATATATTTCATTCTAATTTCATGAAATTCAATTATTATTAACAATTTAGCTAATATTTTTGTAGATTCATCTAAAACCATGGATTAGACATAAAATTTTCTTAATACTCAAGCTGTTGACAGGTCTTGTATGTCACAAGATACTCTATCTTTTATTTGACTTACAGAAGGGGACCTTCTAAATTACTAGAGGGTTAATTCTTCTGCAAAAAGAGAAAGAGGGAGGAAGGAAATACACAGAAGGTAAGCAAACCTATAGAATATGAAATTTATCTTTATAATTTTCCTCTAGGAAAAAAATGTTAATTGTTTTTCAGTCACTACTAGCAAATTAGGTTTGAACGGAGAAAAGTCACCTTAAATAATGATAATAATACATACTGTCTAATTCAGCAGAGCTTATATTGAATTTTCTCAGAATAACATTAAAGCAATTTGTATGTATGTACAGCCCACTAAATTTTCTTAATTAACATTGCCTGGAGAAAGAAAGATATTTTCCCAGTCTGAGCACCTAAGAGTGACAACAGTAGAGCCATATATCCTCTGTGACCCAGAAGAGCTGCCCTAGCAAAACCAGAATCAATACTTTTCATACTTGTCCAAGAAAATAAGGACTAAAAAATTCCTTTATAACAATAATTCCAGCAATCCTTTCAGAATATTTGAAGTTTGGGCTTTTTCTTAACTATTTTTCATATTTTCTTCAAATGTTTCTTTATTTTCCTGAGAGCCATGCATTTTGAGCCTTTTCTTTGAATCTATGACCCAGTTTATTATGACTTTATTCGGTACTCTTCTGTGTCAGTGCTGGCAACATATCACTGTCTGCAGCAGCTGCAATAGCTCTTGTAACAGAAGCATTTGAACAGTCACTGTGCAATATTTACCTTTAGAAATGCCAATCATTTTACAGGCTTGGTATTGAGACTTGATGGTTGGTTAATGACGATATTCCCAGAAGAACTGAAATTGGCAAGTCAAGACACACCATATGCTTCATTTCATCAACCTGTATGTACAAGTGATTTCCCATACTGCTAATGTTAGTATCATTTTAATAGGCTTTTATTGGAAAAGGAGTCAGAGTGTCTAGATAAAGGACCTTTTCTATTAAGCTTAGCAAACCTATTGATTTGCTGCCTGATTATTTTGATCTCACTTGTTAATCTGGAGAAACTCCACTGAAAACAAAGGAGTTTTAACAGAGGCAGGCAAAATAAAGGTGGCCCCTGTAACACTGAGCACAATCAGAAACAGTGTGCAAACATTCCTGGAAAAGAAGAAAAAAAATTACTTTTTTCCTTTATGAGCTCTTCCAGTTGTGCTGAACAGAACCTCTCCACCCTGTCCCAGATGCTTGTCACATCACTACCTTCTCCTAGATGGATGTAATCACTTTTTTAGTTGTGCCAGGACAACAACAAAAGCAGCACCACAAATATTTTACCAAGATAGACCAGGTGAAAAAGCCCAAATCACTAATGATATTAACTGTTCTAACTAAATAAACGTTTGGACAGAGCAAATTATGTCACTGTGGCAGCAGACTTGAGAGGTGGAAATATTGGGTGGCACTGGTAGCAGTACTGTCTTGGCTCAGCTCAGTGGAAGGATGAACAGTGCCTCTGACTGTGCCCTCACTGCCTTGTGGTG